GCATGTATAGGTAAGGTAACATTATAATATTTTATTCAAATTTATTAAAAACTAGCTAGCTGACCCGGCAAACGTTGTATTGTTATATACACTATTTCTAAGAAGTTTTAAAAAACGCGTTTAAAAAACAGGGGTTGATCGTAGAAGGGTGAAAATATGAAGTTTTATGTATTTTTCAATGCTAAATCATAATAAAATAAAAATAAAAATTTTTGTCAAAAATATAAAAAAGTATTTAGGGGTGGGTCACCCTTATCATTTAAGTGTTTGAAAAATAGATGTTAGCCGATTCTCAGACCTACCCGATATGCACACAAAATTTCATACAAATCGGTTCAGCCGTTTCGGAGGCGTTTGGTAACAAACACCGCGACACGAGAATTTTATATATTAGATGTTACCTTCAAATATAACTTGCACGTGAATTTATTTTACGCTTAAGTTATACTACTTATTATATAGTGGGTACCTAATGTTTTTCGACATGTGTTACATGTGTTGTATAGCTAATTAATTAATGTTTAATTTGTAGCGGTCTCGTTAAACAAACAGCCGTTACGGTGTTAAAATTATAATTTTAATCATAGCCAACGACCTCTCGCTCATTTGCATGAGCGCTTACACAGAAAACACACAAACTTGTTTAGACAAGGGTAATAATGGGCTTTAATCGCTATCGTAAGAGCGCGAGCGGTCCAACTGGTCGATGTGAAATAATCGGAATTTTGTGACTTATTGGCTTGAGACCGGTTGCTTAGTTGTTTATTATTGAACACGTTTCACAAATATTTGTTAAAGAAATCGGAATGTTTAGAATAAAGTAGTCGCTTTATTAAGTAGTTATTATAAATTGTGGTTATGCAATTCGAAAATTATAAGCATTTTATAAATAAGTATTTTCCTCTCCCATTGTCTTATCCTGACACCTTGTTAATCTGGATGAGCATTTGTTTCTAGACGTCCGGATTAACGACGTCCCACTGTAGTCATATCATATTACTTCCAAATGGTTACTTAACTGAGATTATACGTGTGAATAAAACCCAAAAATTTCCTTTTTCGTATAAAACAAATGGGCTAATAAATTTTATTTATACCGACGGTCTTTCACATTTTGTTGGTATTCGAGCGTTGACACCGTAGACTTTCATGAATTTAATAATGATGTAACAAGATAGAAGTCCTTAATGAGGCATGTTTATAACAACATCGGTGGGTTCACAGAAACAGTTTCTATGTGGATTGTAGGATTCCTACATTAATATTACTGTTTACTTATGATATTGATGAAAAACCTAAAATATCGGTACCGTAATCAGATTTTGTACTTAGACGTTTTGTGTTGCCAATCTCGACTCGAAATTGATATGTAAAATAGATATTATAATGACAAGTTACCAGTCTAACAGATCGTAAGTGGCTAATGCATATCATGTATAACTGCGACAAAGAAGGCTATAGGTATACGTTGTTATCCCTGACGACAGAGGTGAAATGTCTAGGTAACATGTTGTAATCTACTCGTGTGGTGGCGGTATGAGTGTGTGTGTCATAAGAGACGATAAAGCGAAAGTGAAACAGGAGTTGGGAAGCAACATCTTACTGATAACAAATAAAAATAAGCAGCAGTGGACTTTGTTATTGGATGGACAGAATGGATTAGTCTTCCTGTATTATTTTTTATATATGTTATTGTTTCTATAAAGTTTTATTGTGACTATTATATCCCAACATAAGTCGACTAATTGGTCATAGGCCTTCTCCATAGATCCACTCAAAGCACGGTCTTCAACCATTTGAATTCACAGAAGTCGTGCATGCCTCATGAGGTGATCAATCCAGCTTGTTAGAGGAATGCCTCATACTGCACTTCTTCTTCTAGGCTGGCACTTGTGAACTTTTCATCCCCATCGATTGTCGGTTCGTTGAGCTGTATGGCTGCCAATTGTCGCTTTAACCCACTGATTCGTTGGACTGTATCAGTTAGTCTTGTTGTCTTGGTGTTAACTAGATTCTCTTTTAAGTATTTTATCACACAGAAAACCCCCAAGGATTTTTATTTAAAACATGAGTTATTCTTTACACGTGTCTGTGATAATCATCTGGTACTCGTTACCATTCTAAGGCGCTACTGAATTCTCTCAACGATTGTATGTAGCGGAGCGTTTGCAGGTGCATGATTTACTGTGAGAAATATTACTTGTAATCTTAAATATTTCATTTGTTGTGTTCTTAAATACTGAGCAACTTAAGACTTTTTATGACTAAGTTGTAATGTTTTGTAAATGCATGGTTTATTTTTCATGTTCACTGAGTGAGCAATAAAATGGCATAACACACTGTCCGTTGGCTAAACTGTCGAATTAGGGTGGTCACCCTGTAATGATTGTGTGTGTTATGTGTGTGTAAATAAATAAATAATAAATAGTTAAAGGTACTTGCTAACGAGTAACATTTTCTTACAATAATTTTCATTTCAAGTTAAAAATATTAGCATGTTTACTTTTTATCACGTAAGTATTAACTCGTCGTGTTCTATTTCACAGACTAATAGGCATTTAAGTATAATGTGCTTACGTACGTACTACAAATAACTTCCGTTATAATAGGTACCCATTTTACAGGCGATTTTAAATTAACCTCTTGATGAGTTAGTGACTGAAAACTTTAAATGATGATGATACATGATAAGCTCACTTTTTGTTTGTTTGTCTGTTCGGTATAAATACTAAACTAAATAGACTAAACTAACTAAATAGACCGATTGGACGGTAATACGACACGACCGGAGAGAGATCAGGCGCAGGAGCAACGGCTTTACGTGCTTTCCGCGATACGGGGGTGAAACACTGCCAACTTCCTGACTCCAGGCTGCTACTGAGAGTTTCTTGACAGAAAAACCAAAGAACTCGATCCTGGATTCGAACCAGGGACCTCATGATCAGCAATAGCGTTTACAACCACTTGACCAACGAGACACTCATCTTCTGATATCAGTAAAGCAGATGATCTAAATCTAATCTGTGAAAATATAGATGTCAACATCAACAACGATAGGCCTGCTGAACTAGAAACTTGGTAAAAATGGTCACCATTTAGAGTTAAGTATCTTATTAACAATGAAGTTTGTTGATTTTGTTTTCTATAAGATTATCAGTGATTTCTTTGGTCATACAGATTTTATTTTAAAAAAGTTCTAGAAACATACACGTTTCGGTTTCATTACTTAACACTTCTGTGCATTTTATTAACTGAATAAATAGTTATATAAAAAAAAATGTATAGTAATATGTAATTTAGTTCATTCCAGTGGTTGTGCAAGTAATGGTCAGACATTAAATTATTCTTGCTGTGGTCATTCCGTCGAGATTATGCCTCATTTTGAGGTTAGAATTAGAATCGATATTAAAATTGCTAATATAAAGTCGTAGAATGAGATCAATCAAGATTGTATCTATAAATATATGAAAATGTTTTATTGCAATTTTAAATTTATGAATATTTATATCATGATGCCATAATCTTCTCAAGGATAACTTTCTAAAAAATAGAGGTTTTATAAAAAAATGTTATGTTAATAAATTTCAAGAAAATAAGTTTTAATTCTTGGACGGTTTAATAACTTGTTAATTTATAAAATATTATGTTCTTTAATTTAAATGAGCCATTCTAAGAATAAGGAGGTACCTATATCTTTGTTGAAAATCTAAATTTAAATTAATATATTTTTTTTAATACCTGTTCTCATGATTTGTAGACAGGTGGCAGCGTAGCATTGCGGCATCTTTGTAGCTCCGTGCTTTGATCTCGCCGCAGCATTGTGCGCGTGCGCATAAAACTTGGTATTTTTTGCTTCCGTTATTGTGTTATTGATGCGAGTACTGATTTTTGTATGCCATTTAAGCATCAATGCCTTTGGTTTCAACTTACGAACGTTTGAAAAAAATTGGGGATTTTATTAAAGCCAGTGTTAGATGGCCTAGCGTCATGTTCTTCTATTGTATATTTGTAAATATTCGCAAATATGTAAAAGCACGTGGGAATTTTTACTTTACTGACTGTATGTTTCATATGTATTTGTATTTGTATATGTAAGATTGAACTTGTGTAAAATCCCAATGCTAGCATTGGAGAACCCATCGCTCCATCACATCCTGTGAGTTTCGTAAGCGGTGACTATTGGAATAAACACTAGTTTTATTAGGTTCCTATAGACGTCGTATAGCCATCATATCTCACCCATTTATACCAGTGTGAACCTCACCAGATCGCCATTAGAAAACAGCGATTATAGCAAATTCTTCTAAAAATTCTACCTTCTATGCGAGAGGCACATGCCCATTGTTTATGATAAATCTTAGAAAAAATATATATATATAGCTTTCTGAAAACTCTTTAAATTATACTTTTATTTTAATTACTTTTACTATCATCAAGATCACCGCCACCATCATCCTCACCTTGGCACGAGTCCCGAATAGTCGAAAACTTATTATTGATCTTCCACGCATTAGAACCAAACGGTTTGCTTCGTCTTTTGTAATGCGTACAGCAAAGGAGTGGAATGATTTGCCGGCGTCTATCTTTCCGTCCGAACACAATCTGGGCGTCTTCAAAGCAAAAGTGAATAGGCTTTTGTTACGATAAGACAGTGCGATTTACCATCTAAGGCTGCATCACCACTTACCACCAGGTGGGATTGTGGTTAAGCACTGGCTTATAGCTAAAAAAATCCCAATATAACCAGAAAACAGTAATGACATTTAAAAATTAACCAGATTTACGTTTTAAGTAATCTGAAGTGCAAAATAAGTGCAAGAAGTAAAGCAGACAACATCGTCATGAGAAAATGACATGCATTTGATCAATGAATCATTATGTATAAAACACACTGGAAAAAAATTACTGTATGCACTATTTTTTTTTGTTAGTCCTTGACCTAGTATAAAAACAGCTACAGAAATGATTCATAAGATAATATATTTGTATATTGTCATCAGGATTAACGGCAGAGCTATTCTACGTGCGCGATGGACAGATCAATTTCTACGCGCTCAACTTTGTGATGCCGGTGCCGGCCACCATCAACGAACTGCACTTCACGTGGCAAAGCCTCACCAGGAGACCGGTAAGATATTTAACAAAAATATAGGCCCTTAGAACGTATAGTTACTGTCTTAGGTAACGATTGTTTTTCAAAAATGGATTTGAATAAAAAAAGAACTTCTGCGTGATACTTTCACCGTTTGCTCATCATTCATATGAAATTACTTCACAAAGATGGACTTAAAATAAGTGGTAAAATTAAAAATTTTGTGCAACCGACTGCAATATAAATTATTCAGAAATTAAAAAAAGCTACTGGTCAGACCTTAATCAAATTTATATAAGACCACATGAGAAGCAACAGCTTTCAAATAAATAAAGAATCGCCAAAATCGGTTCGCCTAGAAAAAAAAGTTATGAGGTAACTTACATAAAAAAAGAAAAAAAAATACAGTCGAATTGAGTACCTCCTTGTCCTCCTTTTTGAAGTCGGTTAAAAAAACGTTAGAGCAATGAAATTTTAACTTCTTAAAACCAACCAACCAGCCTGTAGTAGTCCACTGCTGATGCAGTACTAAACAATGCGTTCTTAATGCAGCAGTTCTTTCATTGTTGCCGCGCCATTACTACGTAGTAGAGCCATGCTAATACTATAGCGTATTATGGCTGCAGCACGAATATGCTCATCTGAAAGAAACCATGCTTGCACAGAATTCCAGCGTAAAATAACTGCATAATTCTGGTGTGTTTCGTGAGTGACGAGAATCGAAGACGTTTTACTCACTGGGTACTCATTCTACATTTTCATTCCTATTTGAGGATAGAAGTAGGTGTCTATGGGCCGCAGCATCCAAATACTTGCCGCCTAAATGATGGCTGTGTGCTCGTTTGTCATCTTTTCTTGTTCATAAAGTTGTCAAGTATTACAAGGTTTGCTTGGTTTTTTTTGAAAACACATGAGAAACAAATTACTATCAACCATTACCATTATCATTCCCTCCCTCATAGATATTTGGCGTAATTTACACGCAACTCAAAATTATAAAAAAACTGCGGCTGTATTTTTATTATTTTCAGTTGTTATCGGGAACTTACCCATCTTCTATTCCATTTCTCTCTTCTCTCTTTCTTCTCTTCACTTTTTTCGACAGCTATGGCATGATACGGAATAGTGGATATTCTTACGACGCTGATATATGGCAATTGACACTATCCATCTGGTGGTAAGTCACGGCTTTCCCATATAGGTATGACCAGCTTCAAGCAAATAGGCCGTAGATGCCTCGTCACTCCTGAGGACAATACGAAATGCTTTATAGTTTGTAGACCATTAATTACAGTGGCTCACTTAAGGTAAGTAAGGTACCAATCTAGACGGACAATGGTATTTTCAATAATCGACTGTGAAACCCACGAGAAGCGATCGGGTGGTGTATTTCTTATTACTACTAAGGTTTTTTAGTTTTTTTATAGAATAAGGGTGACAAACGAGCACACAGTTCACTTGATGGTAAGTGGATGTTGTGGCCCATAGACATATATATACATTTATACTCAATTAAGAATCAAAATGCAGATGCGTTGTCACTCCTGAGGACAACGCATCTAAGACGGAATGCCTCGTTTCCAGTAAAAAGGGTCTCCGGTTGTCTACACCATACGAAACACAGCAGCATTAAGCTGCTATTTTACGCTGGTATTCTGTGAGGGCGTGGTCCTGCCCCGGTCGAGCCGACCCATTCGTGCTGCAACCACAATATAGCTACAGCGTGGTTCTGCCACGTAAAATATATAGTATTTATGATAACTTTAATATATCTGATCGTAGATCGGGATTTGAGCCCTCGACCACATAATCAGCAATACTGCTTACAAGTACTTAGATTTAACTAGTCAGCCAAATACATGTACAGCGGCAGAACTTCATAAACCCAACTTTAATTGAATCTTTATGAAAGAAATATTTTACCGTAACCTACTTCGCAGCGAGTTTCCAATTAAACATTTACTTCTGTTTAGAGGCGACGCAAATTTTCCCTTAATTTTGCAGTAGGAATGTCTAAACTTAAAGCGATGTAATTAACTCTGAGAGGAAAGTTTGCTCTAACAACTCGCCGTGGGAGCGTATTTACTTGGTAGCTTCGCCACTAAGTTAATCATGGCGAGTTTCGTGGTCAATTTACTTTTTACAATAACTCTTAGCATATTTTTGTATAGCGGGACCATATTTCTGCACTTGTAGTATATTTTTCACGTGGTAGAGACAAGCTGCAGCTATGTCTTGCTATAACACGAATGGGTCACTCGACCCAGAAACGTTCTAGCTCTTACAGAATACTAGCGTGAAAAAGGCAGTTTCGTGTTTTGTATGGTGAGTGTAGAGAACCGGAGAACCTTTTTACTGCACACCATCTTAGCCCTCGGGGGCTTATCATATTTCAATTCTTATTCAAAGACAGATATTTATATATGTGGTCCACAGCATCTACTTACCATCAGGTGAACTGTATGGCACGCTTGTCACACTTATACTTTAAATAATATAAATTTGTTGTTATTAATTATTATCAAAATAAAAATATTGATATATTCGTTGGTCTGTTAGTGTTCGTGTAGCTTCTGAACGCTTTGACCGATAGAGGTCATGTTCACGCAATATATTTGTTTTGCCCAAACGATGGTTCATAGCTTAGCTGAGTTCTGATAGGTGGCGCTGTGGTCAAGTGAATAACAAATTCTATATTTTTGGAGTAACATAGTCCATATTCGTAATATAGTATGTTGGTGTAGATCCAACAAAGAAAATGGTCAAGTGCCAAAATGTGGATTAGATACATGGCACTGTAGTCGAGTTAATTATATTTTTTTATATATTTACATCGTAAAATATCCTGCGTGAATTCGAAACTTATCGTGCAATCTACCGGCAAGAGCAGAACAGCGTCTGCCGGGCCAGATATAATTAATATAGAAAGAAGTTATGAAATACAAGTAAACCAACTCCAACCTTCAGAGGGGAAATATGTCGATAGTAACATCTTGTATCTGTATATGTAATAGTATTGCACTTACTAGTTAGTGATACTAATATGTGCTGATGTGTGGCTCAAAATAAATATGCTATTTAAATCTTTATTTTTATTTTTTAGATGTCACCAGTACCTATTGTACCCTGTCAAAATCAGTACAGCCATTGTGGAGATTAGCCGGAACAAACGGACAGATAGACAGAAAGACAGACAGACAGACAAAACATCTAAAATTGTTCTTTTTTTTGTTATAAGTATCGTACATGCTTTCATATGCATTTAGTAAAAAGCTGTTATTTTGGCATTATAAATAGACACTTCAATTTTATTTATTTGTATAGATAAACCTTGATTGAAGTATCACAGATAAGGGCGTCAATATCCGCGCATTAATAATCTCGTTCGGTGTTGATCATAGACCGGTTTAATTTAGTCGCTTGTTTGATTACAGGCCCGCCCGTGAACTCATTCGCCTACGCCAGGACAAATTGCGTTCATACCCTAGTTGCGGTAATCGATTCAAAAGTTGGCAAACTTAATCGTAACCTGTGAAAAACTTGTAACCTAAAAATAATATAACAAATATATAGTGTATATGTTGGTTACGAATTTTTTTATTTAAATAAAGCTTTTTTCCAAATTTATTAATTTTAGATAAGTAAAAATAAAATACTATTTTTTAAATATATAAGAAAATTATGTATTTTTTTATAATTTTTATAGGGCTCAGGGTTTGACCTATCTAGATAAATTTAGAAAGTAATCTCACGCCCAGCTATATAATTTGTGTATTAATTGTATAAATGCAGTAAGGTTCTGAATTTTTAATAATTTCTTTTTTACGTTTAAAATGATAATGTAACAAGATTCAAATGCAAATAACGTTCATTGTAATTCGTATATTTTTATCGTAACATATGTATTATGCGACATGCATACAAAAGTATTAAACAAAAACATTGATTGACGTTTCCAGACATTTGTAAACGATTGTCTCAACTGCGATGCATGTATAGCTTTCCATATTTTTTTTTTATTTAAAAATATAGCTCGTTATGCAAATATATGCGAATGCAACGCGGACAGTCGCTTATACGCAGTATGACTGCATCACTAACCAAATATTATGTGCATTTATTGATTTCACCTGGTCGTTGTGTATGCGACAGCTCACCGTTAAGCTTCCCGAGGATTGGAATGAATTTAGATTATTTTTCAAGCAAACCTCTCTTCCGATTGTTCCAGACCAGTTCACTGAACTAGTCAATAAAACCATCTGCTTATTTAGGACGCCATTTGCAAGTCAAGCGCAACCTCAACTTTAGTTACTCTATCGATTTGAATGTATCCGGGACATATAGAGAATACAATAATGTGTACATGTTGACGTACATAAGTTATCATAAAAATATTACAGATTGCAATTGTGTAGGAATAATTGTGCAGTAAACGGGTCGAGGCTTATTTTTATTGATACTAGTAGATACAGTAGTATTGATTACAAAATGATCGGATTATTCGTGCCTATGTTCATTAATTAAAATGCCACAGAATAAACAAGGTTGTAATAAATTAGTGGTGGGTTTAAATCACCTTTCACAAACATGAAACTATTATGCTGAATGAGTTAATGGTTCTTACATCCGTGCTGGTCGTGATGATGATTTTGAAGTTTAATACAAACAAGCTTTTCATTTACCACGTACTCAATGGTGAAGCAAAACATAATGAGAAAACCTGTCTAAGAAATAAAAAAAAAATAATTCAAAGACATGTGAAGTCCACAAACAAGTATAGGAGCAGCGCGATGGACAATTCGTAGCTCTAAAACCTTCTTAGTAATGAGATGATGCCTGTAATTCGTATTTTTAATGAAAGAGTGGGACGTACTTTCTCATATGTTGTTCGATATTGTCAAATTCTTAGAGCAAATACTATAAGTGCATAAGATTAAATTTGTGAATCGCATAAAATGCGTCGCTTTAATGATTTCTTATATTTACGCATTGAATAAAACCCACCATTACATCAGATTTGATAGACCAAAAATCCTCGCGAAAGAACATCGATTCCTACCAAGGACGATTGATTGAGGCTATTGAAATTAAAAAAAAAATCTTAATTTCAATAGAGAAGGAGGCCGGGTAACACAACCTGCTTGGGATCCTGTAATTAATGAAATCAAAACAAAACCGAAGAATACCGGTGTAAGACTTGAAGACACTGCAAGCTCATTCTGCGCGACCAAAAGTAATAATTAAAAAGCTGAAGATACTCCGGGTTAACTTTGACATCGGGAATTCAATTACCTGTCCCCCAGTGACCATCGGAAATTAAATATAAGTAAAATTAAAGGCAATAAAATCGGTAAAAATAGTTTTATTCAATGCGTAGCTTTGCTATGGTCAGCGCTATCAGATCGTCAGCGCAACCCGCACCGTAGACTCTATTTACGAGCGGCGCCTTTGACTAGGCTGAGCAAATATTTGGTAACCGGTTAACTAGCGCCGATGAGCGATCGCGCCAGCATTGTCTGTGCCGCGTTCGCCGACTGCAGTGATAATATTTAATTAGCGGCCACGGTGTCGCACCTACGCGTTTTACGAGCGGCAGCGCCTCCACGCATGCCTGATGAAGCGCGCAAAGGGCCCGCGGCGAATACTGTTTGTTTTACTTTTACCATTCATGTTGCGCGCCGCGATGATTAGTCAGATTATAATGAGCATGTTCGGGCGAGTGTTTAATTGCTATGATGTTTTAGTTGCCGCGCCGACCAGTCTTGTCCATTAATGAGTAGGGGTCGAATAGGTTCTAAATTTGTTAATAATACAGTTATTGCTGGCGTTGTTTTATAATGGTAAATCCATACACGGTCAAGATTATGAAGGAAGCGTTCAACAGGCAGAAAAAATGGGCCCACTCTATATTCCAAATAAGTACTTATTAGTTTTCGATGGTTCTGTCTGTCCTCTTTCAGTTTGAAAAGCGTATAACTTCTAAACAATTAAATACAATTACTTATTTATTTATTGACCATCAACAATGATAACAATAGATTCAGTACATTTTCATTACATCTCTAAATTATACCGGATAACCACAAAGAACATACAAACAAAAATAGTTATCTGAAAATTACTGGGTACTTTCAGAATTTTATTTATATTATATATAGCTGTATTTAGATTTTGGGCTGTAAAAATTTTAGTCTTTAAAGGTGGCAACGCATTTCTTGAGCCTATTTTAGACGGTTAACAGAGTGTCAATTTGTTAATTACTTTATTAGATCGTAAGAAATCTTAAAAAAAATATTTTTTAGAAATTCTCGTTTATAAAAATAACAATGGCCTCGCTTTAAACTTATTTTCATTCTAGTATTGTGTGGCATCCCAATAGAATAGCAATAGTAGGTCCTATTCAAAAATAATGTGCTCAGGAAGATGTTCGTATTTTTCGTAGACAAATTGCAACCGAGCTATTGCACTAATCGTTATTTGAGACAAGTTCAGTTTTCAGCTGTCATAAGCAAATTTCGCATCCATGATAGGTGGGCTTTGAGATGTAGTCAGCATCACGAAATTCCGATAAAGGAGCGGTGGTCGTGCTCGCAGGGTAGGTCACATTCGACATTTGATCCGGCCTGAACTGTGGCGACCATTTTGTATCGACCCGCAGTACTCTGTCCGTCATTTGTGCTATACAGTTATATTACGATGGGCATCTACCGTTAGGAATGTATCACGGTCATCTGATCTCGTCTTTAAATGGTGACTGTTTTGTAAAAGTACCCATGTTTTCGGCACAGTGGTTTTACAACTCACGAATTGTGAATTCACAAATCAGTTTAGCGTATCATATCTCGAAAATGGTAATCTCTTAGATTTTAGTGGTTTATACCATATATCCACCAGGATTATCTTTTTTTATAGAATAAGGGTGACAAACGAGCACACCGTCCACCTGATGGTAAGTGGATGCTGTGGCCCATAGACATCTACATCTATCCTCGATTAAGAATCAAATGCAAATGCATTGTCACCTCTGCAGACTGAGATGGAATGCCTCGTTTCCAGTAAAAAGGGTCTCCGGTTCTCTAAACTCACCACACGAAACACAACATGATTGAGCTGCTATTTTACGCTGGTATTTTGTGAGAGCGTTGTCCTACCCCGGTCCAGCCGACCCATTCATGTTACAACCATAATATAGCTGCAACGTGGCTCTACCGCGTTCAGAATTTTTTCATAATAATTTAAATTCATAATCTTATAATATAGTTATCTTTTCATAAGTCATTAAATAAATGTAAGTTATACTTATGGTCACTTTTTGTTTCAGTTACCATACACATTGCACGTGGACGTCGCTTCAGAACCGGAAGCAATGCATCCTCCGACGTTCAATATATCTAGCGAGGGCTACGTACCCACAGAGACACAAACATGGCGCGTCGACTTGCCATGTATGCACACCGTAGCCGCTGAAGTCAACATAACCATATCCCTTAATGTCTCGACCGGTTCCTCGTCGACTATTTTGCATTTTCAGAGGCGTAAAATTTGCCTCAAGGAGGCTCTAAGACCGGCAGTAAGAGTCGATAGCGTACCGCACGCCCCAACATCTGCAGATATATTCTATGCAGGGGCGGGTTGTGCGGGCGGAGCGTTGTTAATCGCTGCAGTTGCTGCAATAGCTTGCAGAGCGCGAGCCAGGAAGCTGCGTAGAGCGAGAAGTGAGGAGCAAGACGCCCACGCATTTCTCCCTGACTCGTCTTGCAAGTCCGCTGCCAGTTACACTAGCTACCGCCGTCCGACATCCCTCCCCCCTGCCGCAGCCGAAGAAAGAGCGAGGGATCTTCAGCAAAGAATAGCTGAATTAACAATACAAAGGTGTCGTGTAAGACTGCGCGCGGTTGCAATGGAAGGTACTTTCGGTCGAGTTTACAAAGGCACGTATGCCGATGAGGATGGAAGGGAGCAAGAAGTCCTAGTAAAGACTGTAGCTGAACACGCCTCTCAAGTGCAGGTACTTTGTTTTACAAACAGTGAACCTTTCTTAATTTCTTTGGTGGGAGAATTGCAATCTAATCCAAATTTTGTTTTAGGTGTCATTGCTTCTTCAAGAAGGCTGCATGCTTTATGGACTGCGTCATGAGAAAGTACTATCGGTTCTCGGTGTGAGCATTGAGGACCAAACAGCGCCATTCATATTGTATCCATGGAACAGCGGTTGGAGAAATCTGAAGCAATTTCTTCTCGCATGCCGAGGTGTGACCGTGGGGGGTGCGGCTGGGGTATTACCGCCACCGCCACCACTCACCACACAACACGTTGTCCGGATGGCACTCCATGCATTAGATGGATTAGTGTATTTACATTCCCAACACGTTCTACATAAGGATATCGCTGCTAGAAATTGCATGTAAGTGTCTCATAGCAGTTTCAGTGGATTTGATGTTTTTTTTTTATAGAAGTAAGTTCAACAAACGAGCACACACAGTCCACTTAATAATAAGTGGATGCTTCCGCCCATATATACCTACGTCTACTCTCAATTTTAAATCGAAATTCAGATGAGTTGACTAGGATGGAACGACTCGTTGCAAGTAAAAAGTGTTTTCGGTTCTCTACCATACAAAACACAGCCGCTTTTAGTTATTTTACGCTGGTATTCTGTGAGAGCGTGGTCTTTCCCCGGTTGAGCATACCCATTCGTGCTACAAACATAATATAGCTGCGGCGTGGTCTACCACGTGGATATTTTATGTATAATCAACGATAATTATTTACCACGTTTGCCGATTTGTTGAAAAGGGGTATTTCATTTACGTGGTAGAGCCATGCTGCAGCTAATTTTCTGGTATAGTTGTAACACGAATGGGTCGGCTCGACCGGGGAAGGACCACGCTCTCATAGAACATCAGCGTCAAATAGCACCTTAATGCTGCTGTGTTTCTTATGGTGAGTGTAGAGAACCGGGAGACCCTTTGTACCGGAAATAAGGTATTGCACCTTAGTCATCACGGGTGACAACGCATCTACATTTTGTTTCGTAATCGAGGATAGATGTCTATGGGCCACAGCAACCACTTACCATCAGGTGGACTGTGTGCTCGTTTGTCACCCTTATCGTATAAAACAAAAATTCACAGTTGGTCTCATATAAATCTGATGATGAAATCCATAAAAAAATCATTAAACTTTTTAAAAGTATCTGCACGACATATGGGCGAGTAATTCCTTACAACGTCAACTGATTTCGATAATTATTTTTAGTCCATTGAATGCGGTTTGTAATTCTTTAAAACTTTGATAATAAATAGGTTATGATTAATTTCTTAGATAGATAACACTAAGTTACAATACATCTTTAACAGTGTGGACGAAAATCTTCGAGTGATGATCGCCGACAATGCACTTTCGCGGGACCTGTTCCCTGCCGACTACCATTGCTTAGGCGATAACGAGAACAGGCCAATCAAATGGTTGGCTTTAGAGTCCCTGTCGAGGAGACAGTTCAGTCCTGCTGCGGACGTCTGGGCGCTGGGGGTGCTTTTATGGGAGCTGACCACGTTAGCTCATCAGCCTTACGCTGAAGTAGACCCGTTCGAGGTGGCCGCCTATCTACGAGACGGGTATCGATTGCAGCAACCAGCTAATTGCCCCGATGAACTGTAAGTATTTGTTACTTTTACTGTTCTCTAGTTAATGATTTCTTATATTTACGCGAACACTACACATTTAAATAAAACTAATTTTACTGATTTTATCGCGTATATTAACTTATTTTTATATTTTCGACGTTTCGGGTGCTTTCCAGCACCCGTTTAAATGCTGGAAAGCACCCGAGAACATTTAATTCTCTAGTTTATAAACTAGACCCGTTGCTGGACACAGACCTCTTTTTAATCCTGAGAGGAGAATGAGAATGGAGGAGACCGCCACGCTATCACAACGCGAGGCTTACAATCTTTAAATGCTTTTTGTCAATGCAGGTTTTTCATGTTGTATTTGATCGCCGAGCACGTGGTATAATAGCACTTAAAGTTGCAAATAACAATTAAATTGGTGCCGGCGTGGACGATCTATGTTTTTGTTTGCTCGTGTGCTATAAAATTTAAAATGAGCGTTTATCACCTGAGCTAGTACGGATCTGTTTAATTATAATTCCGTTAATTAAAATTGAATTCTATTATTGATAGAGATGGGAATGTTAGTCTGTTTTCGACATCCAAGAATGTAAAAAAATAACCTGCCAGGAGCTGTACATAAATAAATCCGTTACTAGAAACACTTACACTGAAGACCATAATTTAGACAAAGGATTTTATTTTTCTTAATAAACAAAATTGTTGCGTAGTAATTTTAAGGCGCCGAAATAATAATTATGTTTTAACTAATTAGGCACCTTTAAGATAATTAATAAATAAATCTTCTATACTTTCCTAGATTTGCTGTAATGGCTTACTGCTGGGCTATGTCACCGGACGACCGGCCCACATTGCCGCAGCTCCAGACGTTCCTGCGGGACTTCCACACACAACTCACAAGATTCGTATAGTCACGTTCCACGAAGCTTATGAAAGAAAACCCAAAGACAATAAATCATAGCAAGCTGTTAAGGCGCTGGTTGAAGTAGTTTTAACGGGAACGAAGCTCGAACAGTGGCCTTATTGTAAAAGAACAATAGTTAGCTTAAGTGACTTGAACGATTTTAAAAACGTGAAATATAGTGCTTCGGAGGTGTTGTGCTCGCGAAGAATAAATAGACTGATTTTTATAAAAGTGTTTATTAAATTGTAAATTATAGAAGTTTATTACAGGGCGTCTGTCACACGTTTTGATTTTCATGGTTCTCTTTTGCGTTGCATATTAACGGCCATTTTCAGTGTGTGTGTGTGTTGTTATGAACGCAATAAAGTACCTTTTATAGCTTCGTAAATTCGTAACATGTGCGTGGTGCGTGCGAATTTTATATTGAACAGGCAACACCACATACTGTGTGACCAGACAATAAATATGGACAATTATAAATGTTTTACACGTTGAATGTTTTATGACAACTGAGTACCTAATATTTCAGAGGAAAATGAAACACGTGTGAGGATCGCTTTAGTGATTGTAACGTTATTTGAAACCTCAGTACTGCCATATTAGATTTAGAAAGATTATTTGTAAATATTGATATTTGTATTGTATGACGTATATTGAATGTGCCTCAGATTTTATGAAAGTTTTAGATGTTTATTGGTGTTTGATTGAAGTAAATAATAAAAATTATTAAGACTGCAATTGCATCAATTTAAAAATCTTATGTAATTAAAATACGAATTACCTAATTAGTATTAATTTGCGGATCAGTGATTATATTGTTGTTTATTGTGAATTATTACGTGCCAAATCCATCACCGCTTTTTATGTGCCAATGTAAGCAACAAAAACTCGTATTTCGTTTGTAAACTATTTATATATCTTGTAACAAGTCACAGTAAAGCCTATATTATATAAGTAAATTCAACCTCTATTGATTCTAATATGATTCACGTTGATTGACTTACAGCAGTCTTACATCAGGTAAGTAACGGTATAAAAGTAATGGCGAAAAAACTTAATTGTGCTGGGTGATATAATGTTTTTATGTTTTTGATTTTTTTTTTATTCCTTGCAACATTCAAAGAATTACTGTGACAAAGTCTTACTGTTACTCTGTGGAAAATACATTCTACCTAATATTCTGCCTGGTTCGGTTTCATACTGTTTTACAATTCTTTATATATCAATATTGTCAGCTGCTACGTTCCAGATTAAAGGATAAGAAGGTATAATTATTACAGGCTGCGACGCATTTCATCTTATTACTCACTGGCAACAATGCATCTGTGACCATTACTGCTCGAAGTAGAATGTCCAGCTGCGATAGCACTAACACTAGGTGGACTGTGAGTTATTTTCTCACTCTAATATTATATTTAAAATTCAGATTTTCTTTAATAACCAAGCTACTAATATCATTTACAGTCATGCGAGTTACTACGGTCGGATGGGACTAGTTTCTAGTGTTATTTTTAGTGAATTAGGGATGAGACTGCACGTGGTAGAGCCACGCTGCAGCTATATTATGGTTGTAGCGCGAATGGGTCGGCTCGACCGGACAAGGAGCTCGCTCTCACATAATACCAGCGTAAAATAGCAGCGCAATGCTGCTGTGTTTCTTATGCTGAGAGGGGAGAACCGAGGACTCGTTTAAAAAAAAAAACCAGGCATTCCATATTAGTCCTCACGGGGACAACGCATCTGTATTTTGATTCTTAATCGAGGATAGATGTACATGTATATGGGCCACAACATCCACGAACATCAGGTGGGCTGTGAGTTCGTTTGTCACTCTTATTATATAAAAAAACTTTCCCAAACCATCATCCATGTCTCACCAATCATCTGTCATCACTCCATCTAGTGGAGGGCAACCCCACACTTCGCCTACCGGTACGCGAGGCTGCCACTCTAGAACCTTATTGCCTTCCTGCTTCTTACCCCTAAACAATGAACTTCAGTTTGAAATCTAATTCATTTATTTTCAACATTAATTTTAAGTATATTTTTTTATAATTAAATAGCACTTAACAGTAGAGACAGGTGTAGGGTACTTTTATTCTGTGGAATATAAAGCAAGCGCTCGACTTTTTCACCCTTTCATCTTGATTATTCTTGTACCGCGTTAGTTGCGTTGGATTCGTAAACGGCATCTATTATTCCGGTTTTAAATAAAATTATGGGCGCGATTCCATCTTGGCACGCGTTTCGTCGAGACACTTAGAAGTACACAGACGTCCCGATTTATAAGTACCCTACTCCCAAAAGCTTTGGAGTGCGTTTCTGGATAATGTCTGCTTTTAAAGTTACGTAATGTTGGATATTTTATTATATGATCTCGGAAGATTCTATGTTTTTTTTAAATATTTCAACCACGGCGACAATTTAGTGAATAGTAATATTATAAGTAATATTGGATGTTGATAACTGTGTAGTGTGCCTAATATTTAAGTGCCGTGGCTGTAATTAACCTACCTGATTCGATGTTACTTATGTTTATTCGTTTATATAAGCATAAGTTACACACAATGCGTCCAAATTAGAAAATCAATAACTTGTTATTGACAATATTTGGTATATTATATATGTATATTTATTAATTTATTATATCCACTTACTATATCAGGTTGAAAATAAATTCCACAACTCTACGTCTGTTTATATGCACTGGAGATGGATAACTGATTAACGGACATCCCGTTTCAACTCGAACTTTAATTTTTATTAAAAAAAGAAAAGAGATTTTTTTTATATTTGAACGCTGTTTGTAATTTTTTTTTCCATAATTTGTATACTGCGAATAGCATTAAAGGAATTTTGGGGAAAGAATGTTTAGGGAACATGGAATGGGAACATTCATGGCGTGGTGTCTTCCCAGTAGTTTAACCAAAATAGTCCCACAAGTAAGATTACTGGTAATTTTCTTACCAAGTAGACCTAACTGGTAAGATAATTGGGGAAGAAAACTATAACATAATAGAATTTTTTTATTTTCAGAAATTTACTAAGTAATTTTTCCTAACTAAGTAGTCTTACAAGAAGACTATTGGGAAGAACATTTTTCCGTAGTCTTCCCAGTAAAACTACTCGGAATACTCGGAATATTTCATTTTGAATATTTTGAAATAAAACTCAGTTGACACGTACTTAGTCAATGCACGTATATGAACAATTCATTACTGTACCTACTAAAATACTAAGCAGATGTTTCGCTAGTTGACATAACATTATATTTATTGAAAACTATGCAATAATATAAAAAAACGACATGACGATTTTTTAAATGTATTTTTTGTCTACTATTACAAGGCTAAAAATTAGAAAGTTGGTAAAATTATTTTATCTTGTAAAATATTTTGACTCAGAACAATTTTATATTATGTACAAATTCTTACTTTATAACTATCCCACTGTTCATTAGTTTTCCATTATATTCGATTTACGATTGTATAGTATGTGTTATATTTTTAAATATTATTGTAATTATTATATATTCAAACCGCCACAATTATTGTTACAAAGTAGTAGTTATGTAAATTATACGCTTGTAAATGTGTAAATATTTAATTCTTGAAAATGTCAATATACGAGTGAATACAATTAGTTGTGATTTTATTGACCGCTTCCTTAATTTTGAGCTGAGCTGAGAAAAAATAATTAGATAAAAATTATCCACCGAATAAATTATAACTTGTCTGAATATAAAAGTAAACAAAGAATAATAATTTTCTTCATAAAACTGTAATTTATAATTTATATATTATGTTAAATTTTGCCGATGAATAAATTTTGTTCGAGGATTGAAAAATCCGCTCAATATCAGTCCTAATTCATATTTTTTTTTATAGGATAGGGTGACAAACGAGCACACAGTCCACCTAATGGTAAGTGGTTGCTGTGGCCCATAGACATCTACATCTATCCTCAATAAAGAATCAAGATTCAGATGCGTTGTCACCCGTGAGGACTAAGATGGAATGCCTCTTTACCAGTAAAAAGGGTCTCCGGTTCTCTACACTCACCATACGAAACACAGCAGCGTTAAGCTGCTATTTTACGCTGGTTTTCTGTGAGAGCGTGGTCCTTCCCCGGTCGAGCCGACCCATTCGTGCTACAACTATACTACTAATATAGCTGCAGCATAGCACTACTTTATAAACTTTATCTATAGCAGAACAAAGATATCTCTTTTATATTTTTATTACATTGGATTAGAGTTATCAAATACATGAAAAATATTAAATACGAGACAAATATCATTTTTATTTTTATTGATTAATAAAATCAAAAAAAAAACTGGAGATTTTAATCTCTCCACAGGCCCCGGCGAGATTCGAACTCGCGATCTCCTGTTTACTAGACAGGCGCTTTAACCAACTAAGCCACGGCGCCGTACATCTCAATACTTGAAAATATTGATATTATATTTAGAATCTAACCCAGGCTTCGATCTGCAAAATCTTTCAGTCCGACAAAGCTATCAAAGCCTGAATCCGTGAATAGAATAGAATAGAATAATTTTTTTTTAGAATAGAATAGAATAATTTTTTATTCAATATAGATCACATGTGTAATTCTTATTGAAGTCATTTTTTACTTTACCACTGGTTCGAAAAACAACCTCTGTCCTGGGAAGAACCAGCAAGAAACCCAGCGGGACTTTTTTTTAAAGCAAATTTTACAATAATGTTTGTACAAACTATATAAGTACAAAATTTATTTTAGAAACAGCTTGGAAGCGATCACCTCATTCCCAGGGGTTATCATCAACCATGTATTCATCTATACTATAATAACCCTTTTTATACAGTTTCAACTTAACAAAACATTTAAACTCTTAATAGAGAGAGCCTGTACACTTACCGGGACCTTGTTGGAATAGCGTATACATTGCCCCAAGAATGAATTACTGACTCTGTGGAGTCGAGAAACTGGTATCACTAGCTTGTGTTTGTTCCTAGTGTTTAC